ATTCCTCCTTAAATTTGAATTTTAAAAGTACTGCCTGAGAATCTGGAAAATCCGAAAATCCGGACTGACCCAATCCCCAAGCAGTCCTGATTTTTGGACTTCTACTGTATTGTACTCATCAGTAGATCCTGTCATTTTTGGCCTAGAATAGGCAGACACTTCACTCAATTGACTGTAATACATAACTAATCATGTCTTAACACTTTTGATGAAGGTTGGGTGGGAGATTATTGGGTCATGTTACGAACTTGACCTGATACAATGTCAGGTCACCCTTTCTTGGGTGAGGGATTAGTTGGTCTTATGACCTGAAGATGTCTTGAATGCCATTTTTTACATTGTACTCTACTGTATTGTATGTGAAGGGTTCAGGTATTAATAAGCACAGATTATTTCAGTAATGTATCATTACTAATTAATGAAAAAATTAAAAACAAATAAACAATATTGTATCATGAATGAGTCAGTACAGTAGACAAACAGTGAGGCAACCCTTTGGGGGAGGTGGGTCACTTTTACCCCTCAATGGACTTTTCTCCCTTTGGGTGGGAGGAGGGGGAAGGTGGGGTGTCGACAGCCAGGAGGAGAGATTAACGCTTACTCAAGGATTATGAAAGGCAGGAGTTTAATTTTTTCACTTATAAAATGTCACTGACTTGACTTAGGAGAATTTAACTTGCATTGCTGGAATTCTTGTAAAATAGCAATTAATTTGAGTATAAATATCTCTAATTTTGCACCAGGTATAATAATTTTAGTAATTAACTTAGAATATTTGAGTATGGATAGTGATAATTTATGTGGTTGCAGTTTTGAAGCTTCGTGACATCACTAGTGTATAATGAGTCTCCATATGCCCTGGTTTATTCATTGATCAGTTGTCTAAGTACAAATGTAGCCCAGTCGAGCCATCATGTATCAATTAATTTTAAAATAGAAATTATAATGTGAAATGTTATAAGTCAATGGTTTAGTAGTGCTGTTAATCTATGTGCTGTGTAAGTGTCTTGGCATGTTACCTCACCACCTGATTCCTGAACAAACTTTTCATCAACTTCTTCAAATCCTACAATGTGCTTGGCAAGCTCAAAAACACACACACACACAGGAATTAAGACAACAAGCATCCAGTGAGGGTCTTGTTGTGTGACTGCATGGAGGCAAATTAAAAGATCAGCTGTTGAGGAGCTTATTGCTTGGCAACACCGGTGTACGTTACCACTCCTTTCCACTCCATCTCTCATATCACCCACACCTTTCTGCTTTCTCACTCCATATTTTAAAATGTTATTTAATGTAGTGTTGAAGGGATACAACTTTGCTCACTTATATTTATACTTATCACAATCTCCCTAAAAATACTTTAGCTTTCATGTTTATTCAAGACATCTTCAGGTCATGAGACCCACTAATCCCTCACCCAAGAAAGGGTGACCTGACATTCCATCAGGTCAGTAATATGAGACCACTAATCCTCCACCTGACATTGAGTCAGGTCAGGTCACGTCCCCCAAATACTTTAACTTTCATCTTTATTCAAGGCATTTTCAGAAAATTCTCTCGATTTTCAACCTCAGAAAATTTGTTCCTAAAGCCGCAAATTTGTGGAAAATTCCAGCTTTGGGAATGATTTTCTGAGCAAATTTCAATTCAGGCTATCTGAGATTTCTGGGTTTGAGGGATTCTAGCTAACGGAGATATTACTGTACAGTACTGTATTTAGACTATGGCTTTTATTTTCATATTTAGTGAACTATTTTTAATATACAGTAATACCCCGCTTTACGCGGTTCTCGTTTACGCGTTTCTACATTTACACGGTACCCTGCCAGAACCGGAATTCCCACTTTACGCGGTGCATCTACTCATATACGCGGGTGAAGTATAATTTCTTTATTTAGCTCATAAAATTCATACAAATTACCCGGCCAGAATATAATTTACATTGCTGGAATTCTTACAATATGATGATCATTTTGAATAAAAACATCATGGATTTTGCATTAGACATACAAATTTTAGAACTAATGTAAGAATTTTGTTTACACAGAGCAAATATGTTATCTTTTGTGCAAAATATATGACATGTATATTCAAAATATTCCTGGTCTTGCAAGGAATCCAGCAATGTCAATTATATTATCCTAATTTTAGTCTGAGGTATTATTTATTACAAAAATGTAAATATACTGTTTTAACCCAAACATTTCTCTGGTAGGGAGAGAAGGTAGGGGGTGGGGGTAGGGAGGGAGGGACCCAGGGAGCGTGGGAAGAGGGGGGGGAGAGCCGGAGGCGGGGTATTTTGATTGACAGATAGTGTCTGGGTGAAGTATATTTTTTTATTTACTAAAGATATTTGTTTTAGCTCATAAAATTCATACAAATTACCTGGCCAGAATATAATTTACATTGTTGGAATTCTTACAATATGATGATCATTTTGAATATAAACATCATGGATTTTGCATTAGACATACAAATTTTAGATCTAATGTAAGAATTTTGTTTACACAGAGCAAATATGTTATCTTTTGTGCAAAATATATGACGTGCATATTCAAAATATTCCTGGCCTTGCAAGGAATCCAGCAATGTCAATTATATTATCCTAACTTTAGTCTGAGGTATTATTTATTACTAAAAATGTAAGCCTACTGTTTTCACCCAAACATTTCTCAGAGAGGGAGGAGCCTGCGAGCGTGGGAAGAGAGGGGGGAGTTGAGTCCAATATTTGAATGGACATTAACCTGGGGACTGTATTTCTCTTAAATATTACTTGTGTGTGCATACCATCATAAAATTAAATGTTATTTTTACGACAACATAGGTATTGTGTCGGAAAAAGTGGAGTTTGGGAGTCGGCTCAGTCTCTATTTCAATTAGTCCCATATGCTCTGTTATTCCATTTACGCGTTTCTCGTTTTACGCTGACCTCCGCGGGTTCAATTGACCACATAAATCGGGGTATTACTGTACTGTAATTTATTGTGGATTTAATATCTGAGACAAGTAACAATTTTGTTGTTACTTTTTACTTTCAGTACTTGAGAACTTAAAAAATGAGATACTTTTTTACTTCTACTTGAGTACATTGATACAGTGGTCCCTCGGTTAACGAGCACAATCCGTTCCAGCAGGTTGCTCGTTAACCGAAAAACTCGTTAACCGAAACCATTGTTTCAATGGGTTTTTGGGTAATTGGTTCCAGCTCACCGAAAATTGCCTAAATTCAACAAAAAAGGTAGAAAAGTACACTTACTTTGAGGTGTGTATGTAGAAGGCTCCTGGATGATGATGATGATGATGGGAATTAGAATGGGGGTGGAGGAGAAGGGAGAAGAGAAGGCTTTGGGGTGGAAGAGAAGTCACCCCATGACACCATTTCACCCATAAAATTTTAGTTCTCTTGGTGTAATTCAAGATTATTTTCTTTAAATCAACACTGCACTGCATTATATATTGTCAATACTGTATGTAAAATAAATTTCAAAATGACCAATAATATGCTTGGAAACACAGAAAAAAAGCATTTAGTTGAAGAGAGTCTCAAGCAAAATGTTACCTCCACTGAAAACAGAGAGAGACTAACGCCTGTCTGGTGTGTTAACAGGCTGGATGGCACGCCAGAAACTAGTTTCTTTACCTTCAATTATGTTCAATAATTGTTAAAATGACTAAAAAAGTTAATATTAAACTTTTAAAATTATTGAATAGTATAAACTTCTTCATATTTACTAAAATAGTAAGGAATTTAAGCCCTAAAACCAATTACTGTATTGGCGGACTAATACTACAGCTGGTGGACCGCCAAATGCAAGCGAAAACATGTTGAAGTCGGCTCGTAAAAAACTCGTTAATCGAGGGATTGCTCGTTAACCGAAGTTAAGAATCTTATGGAAGGTAAATCGTTAACCGAAATCTCGTTAACCGAGGCGCTCGTTAACCGAGGGATCACTGTATTTGGATACTTTTACTTCTACTCAAGTAACATTTTGCCAATGTACAATAATAATACTTTTACTTAGTAAAAAAAAAAAAAAGTTACAAAATCCAGTAATCATTACAACTCTGCTCTTGAGTGTCTCGTGAAAGAGTGCCTACCCAAACACAAGTGTTAAAATTACTAATTTCAGGTGTGTAATGTAAACAAAACTTATTTGAAATCTTAATTCATATAAATGATATAATTTTAGGCCGGGGAGACGACGAATGACAAGCAAGGAGGAGATTGGATGGGGTGTTTTCATTCTGTATGACTTGTGTTGGTAAATATTAAAAGTAAATGTGATTTCCTCCCCCGTATTCAATATTCCTGCTCATATCAACATTATTATAAATACATATCTAATTACAATTGCTTAAAACTTGAACAATAACCTGAAAATGATAAATAAGGAAATGGATGGCATATTATAATAATCACAAAATAATGGTCCTCATCTACTGTATACTTCTCTTTCAAGCATGTAAACCTATGATAATATAATGGAAATAAAATTACCTCCATCCATCCCTTCCTTCTTTCATGAATTTCCCTGCTTTTTTTAATCCCCTCCCTCTCTGATGAGTAGCCTTCATCACATACCACCCTCCCCCACGTTGACCATTCCCCTTTCCACCACGTGACTTACCATGCAGAAAGGACCAGACTAGGCAGAAGGGTTAAGTGGTGGAATGGATGATCACTTTTGACCACTCTGTACATCCGAGTTTCTGTCGCCCAACGGGAGAGATCCGCTGTTACAGATACAAAGAGCCATAAATATATACACATCTCGAGGTCATAATTACAAGAGGTAAATTAAACCTTTTCTTACTGCAAAAATGAAAGGATTTATGCGTTTTGTACATACATTACACAAATACAAAAAGAATGAACATTTTGTACACAATACCATTTACAAACAGAGTGGTATTAACATTTTTATCAAGAAAAAACTTACACTTAACTAGGAAATGGAGGACGCATTGACCAGCCTCCTCCAAGATGGAGCAGGAGAATAGTGTACATGTGGAGTTTTAGCAAGCTATGTACAATATAAATAAAAAAGAAATATAAACACAATCTTCACATCATTACAGGAAGCATTAGTTAATAGAGGCCATAGAAAAGAAAAATCAAGATAAATATAAACACACATCAGTCAAATTACAAACTTTGCCAAGGGGAAACCAGGTTCTCAACATATTTTCTAAGCCAATTATACAAGCTAATGTTACATAGTCGGGTAGAAATGATGGAAACTTCACACTTTATATACATCTAAATAAAATATTATTATTTTTTATAAATATGGACACTATGTTATCTAACATAATTCTCAGCTGTCCACTAGAAAAATCAGCACAATTCTGAGCAACAGAATGATTGTACACTATAAAATTTATAATTTGTGGGGGAACTTTAAATACGTACATATTTATGGCTGATCCCAAATATAAACGTAGTATATAAAATGTTGGATTCTGACATTGCATGGATGCCAAAATTTGAATTCAATGTTTAAAAATAAGTATTTTTTTAATATAAAATATAATCCAAAGTACTGCCTACGAGAAATTTTTATATTTACCTTAACATCTGTTATTAAAATTTAACAAATACTGTATCAAGTGTATTCTCCTGTAATTATATAACATTGTGTCAAATATATGATCATCAAATAATTCCATTTACCGGGTAAGTGATGAAACATAAAACTGAAACTTGTTTTTTAAGTGATGAGACATAAAACTGAAACTTGTTTTTTAAGTGATGAGACATAAAACTGAAACTTGTTTTTTAAGTAATGAGACAAAACTGAAACTTCCATAAAGATTTCTACATTTCTTATAGAGCAAGAACAATTAAATGCCACCATTATCAGAGAAAATGATGGTCAAGCAGTTTTTCCCAAACTGGGAATACAAACACACTACAGTGAGATAAGCTACTTGTAAGTATAGAAGGGGTGGGGTCTGCCTTCCTCTGCTGTCTCCACAAGATGCTGTCTACAAGTCTATGCTACAGTTTTCTTCACACTCGGAACTAAAATGCATAGTTTTTCTTGCGACAACGTCATTGTTCAACAAGTTTTGGGCTTTTACCATTTCACTTAACTGACTTGCTCAACCAAATAATAAAATGTCAGAAATGTATATTCTGACCACCGAAGTACTAATCCACCCATTGTGAATGAATAACAATGGCTGAATTTTTGATATCCCTCTTATCACTGTCACAGGAAAGTGGCCCAAAGTACAGTACAACTAGTTATGGATCATTTGACATTCTCACTTAAAATCATACTGCAGTCAAACTAAACAACCATTTTATGTAGCATACTGATAATTATAATATCAATCTGTTGTAAATGGACAGACCCACACCCTCAATGAACACAGCTAATGGATCCACATCTTGTGAATTATCTATACTTTATATGAAAAAAAGTAAATAAATTGATTTCTTTGGGTTGGGAATGTATCTTCATAAATAGAACATGTAGCTTTACTGAAGAGATTTCATTTACAGATGTAACATATTTTCCATTTGGTAGAAATACTAACAATGCTATGGGAGTATTGTAATGGACAGCACGCTGGTTCCTCCTCCACCGGCCACCAGTTTATTTGAGTAGAAGTCTATCACCAAGGAGCCCGTTTAATCATGTGAAATTAAATTTTTTGATCCAGCAAAGAAGTGACACTAGCCTATGTATATTAGAAGTTTAAGAACACCATTTGTCTATTTTTACAAACAATTCTTTAGAACTTCTAACGAGGGACTCCAAAATTAGGAAAATCTAGGGAATCACAAAATTACTAATGACAAATATTTACATGTTTGCGCAGGACAAGCTTTAAGAAATAGACAGTGTCCACCAAAAGCGTATCAATGGGTGTGACCCCTACAATGGAGTGCTAAAATTGATGGGTGACTAACCTTTATTCGGTAATGAGGAAGGATGAGTCACATTAGAATGAAGCCACGCTCCATACTAATATGGAGAAAAAGGATAGTATGTGTGCATTTGTGTTTGTGTGCAAATGTATACATGTGTGTAAGTATGTTTGAGAGTGAGTTACAATGTGGGGTCATATTTGAAAATTTTTGTGTTTGGGGAGGGGAGATGGGAGGGAAAGACTGCATCACACTCCAGGGATGCCTAACATACTTCAGCTAACACCAGTTAAAAGCATTCAGGTACAAATGATCATTGTGACCTCGTTGCTCTGACCCGATACATAAGATGCATCAAGCCAAGCCACCGATGACCACTGAGATATCTTTCCAGTGGTATGCAGTCCAATAAGTGTGAAATGGAAATGTATGGCACTAACATCCCATAAAAAAAAATTGTGCTGTAAGAACTCACATGAGTGAGCAAATCTTCCAGAGTATAAAAATATTTTGAAATATTAAAAGGAACATTAAAACTATAACACTTAATGCTTACACTGTGGAAAGAGGTGAAGACTGTCCAAGAGCCACTATTTGCCATAGTGAGCAGTGATATCCTCCTACAACAACAGAATACTACACCTGGAGTTCTGGAAGATAATATGCTCTGAAGAGCCACAATTGGGCTCTTCATAGTGAGCTCTACTGAACAACATCACTGCTGGGGGTATAAGCTGCTTGTTATATACTGCAGTGCTATTGCTAGTATAGATGATGATGCTCTTGATGCCACTGTCACTACCAAACTCTTGTGCAGCAACTCCTGCTGGAAATTCATGATTTTACTGTCATGCCTGATAATCTAGCAATTGTCTACACTGCAGAAAAACAACCATTTGTCTATTGTTCCCTCTATTGCACAGTGCCAGTGCTGGAGCCTCTGGTAGCTCTTGTGGACGATCGTCTCCCACTTCCAGACCCACTTTTTTTCTGTTCCCCTCCCCCACAACAAGAGCATTTCTTTTTCTTGGCATGGTCACGGGAGGAAGAGCGTCGAGTGTTGACACCACCAGGAGAAAAGTCATGCATATGCATTATTGGAGGGCTACCATCTCGACTGCTGGCACTGCTTTCTCGACTTTGACGCCGTCGTCTTCTGCTCCCACTCATACTAGGGGAATCATGTGGTCCTGGTGTAACTGCACGTTCCATACTATAATTACTACTTGTGTCGGAAGTACCACTAACATGACGACCTCGAAGTCCCCGTGATAGTGCACAATCCTCATCTATGTGGTTTAGCACGTCCTCTTCCATTGACAACACATATCCATCACTGCGACTTCGGCCAGACCGAGTACCCCGACCACGCTTCACTTCTCCCACACAATCTCCATCGCCACGCCTTTTTGCTCCACGTGTTGTTCTTCCCACACCTTCTTCAGAAATTTCTTTCACATCCTTATCCATCTTTATAAAAGGCTTCTCATCTTTGATTTCTGTATCAGTTATTCCAGCATCATCCTCTTCCTTTACACCTGCTTCAGTCTTTAAGGGCTTTGAACGATTGCGGCAGGCTGAAGTCTGGATTATGCTACTGGGAGATGCTGCTACAGCACGCTGAGAGCTTCTACGTTTATTTCTACTGGCATTACTGCTGCTTTTTCCAGTTTTTATATTATGAAGATCTGAGTCTTCATCATGCCCATTTTTAGTTGGAAATTCCTCCCTTGTTACTTCACCATCACTTGGTAAATTACTCTTTTTCCTGTTTGACGTACAGGCAACTCGTTGACTTCGTTTTCTGTTGTTCCCATCTTGAGGGGCCAAGTTACGATTGATTGTTTCAACCATACCATCAGGTTTACTTTGCATAGATGATGTCCTCCGTTCTCTACCTGAGCCTTTGTTTGCAACAACCTCTGCAACAATTTTAACATCATCAACCTCAATTTTAACATCATCTTGCTCTTGTTCTTTGATGCGCAAATGCTTCCCTTTCTCTTTAGTTTTGGACTGTGAAGTTTGAGTTGTTATTTTTGACCTTCTGTGATTACTATCAGAGGGACCTGCTACTTCCTCTTGTTTCAATGTCTGCTTATCATCTTTAAGGTTTTCATTTATGTGTACATTAGGCTGAGTAACTACCGGCTTATTCTGAGTCCCAACGGTATTATCAAATCTCCATGGTGTATCTTGTGCTGCCTGATTTACAATAATACTTCCCGATGACTGGGTACCATGAGAAGACATCCCACCTAAAGTGGTTACAGGCAGTTCTAATTGAGTGGGTGATCTTGTGGATGTTATTGTGTGATCCTGTTCACTCTCCCTTGGATGTAAATCTATAGTTACTTCCCCTTGTTCCTGTGACTCCTGCTCTTGAAGTTGCAAATTCTGCTGCTGGTTACTTGAGGCCCCTCCTGGTGTAGCAGTTCTCATATCCTCACTTGTACTTGATGATACACTCACACCATCTCCTTCTATTGAAAAGAGACCAGGAAAACCTGTGGATGAATCACATAATGAGTCTTCACTATGATTAACATCAAGAGGAATATTGGCTGTGAGAGCATCATTAAGAGAGGGTGACTGTGCCATCATGGAGTCAGCAGACCTTGGGGACCAAGTCAGAAGTGGCCCAGATGATACCAAGTCACTGAGAGCAGGTGAATGTGTCCTCACTTCCATGCCAGCCACAAGAGGCAATGTTCCAGTTTCTAAACTTTCCAAGCCCAACCCTGAACCTGACTGATGTAGATAAACATCACCAGAAGGGGAAGCCAGAGCTCTCAGTTGTGCATCACCTTCTGGAGATACACCTGTCACAGATAATCCTGGAGCTGATGGAGCAGATGAATAACCAGGCTGAGTCAGAGCTGCAGGGAAATTGTCATCAGTGGTTGGAGGGGCTTCTGTAAATGGCAGGTCATGGGTTGTCCCAGGGGATGAGTAGGAGGAACCAGAATGTTGTGACTGGGAGACAGATGGTGATAATGCTGCTTCAGTCATGTAAGCACTTTGCAGCTGTTTCGTCAAGGTAGCTGGACTTGGTGGAATTTGCACTTCTTCTATACCTGTAAAAATAATCTAATTAATTACATGCCTTTTACTAAAGTAAAATACAAATATTACACAAGAAAATTTGGATTTGTTTAACATTTATGATAAAAAATTCATTACTGATACTGGAAATAATAATGCTAAACTATCAGTTACACTCTGCAAGGAGTGATACAGTGAAAATCACACACTGCTAAAATTCCCCAATTGCAGCATGAAAAGGGCTTTGGTCTTCAGAACCCATATGAATTTTTAACATAAAAACCTGTAAGCCATGAGCCCAATTTTGAATACTTCCACAGCAATGATTCAGAACCAACTACCAATCAGAGGGAGGTGCCTAAAACATAGCTCCAATGCAATCTCTCTCTCATGTCAAAGATACAGTCCATGTGTGAAAGGAACACGACATACTGTATGGTCCTGCCGAACCTCCATTCCATGGCAAGAACACAAACACATCTAAGCAAGACCTACCTTCATTAAGTACTCATAACACTGCTCAGACGCATTTAACACTCTTGAAGTTTTCATACACAAATTTGCATATGAACTAAAAAATTACAATAAAATGATTTTATGTTTGCATATGAACACTGGATACGCAAGATGCACGTTTGGCGATATTGGTGTGACCTGGTAACTATGTAGACTGCCTACAAGGTTTCGTGAGTGACCACACCAGTCGTCCTTTGTGGTTCAACGAAGCAGGATGTAACCTTGACCTACATTTCCCACCTTTTCTCGTGGCTTGTGCTAATTTCTTGTTCATCACAGTGATTTCATTTATTGATAACAGTGTTGTGATAATTTTGAACTATTCCTCGTGTTATTGGTGAAGGTGGAGGGGTGGGAAAACTTAAAAAGTACAAGAAGATTGCACCACATGGTGTCAGTGTGGTGCTCCTGAGGCCTCTCCCAGTGTCCCTGGCCCTTCCAGTGCAAGTGATAGTTTGTTTGGCCCTTCAACAAGCAGTTCTTGTGTGAAAGGAAATGCCCAGCATGTCGTTGTAGTAAGCATGCTATTTGAGATAAAAAGGTGGGATTTGTTGCATTATCCTTGTAAATACCTGTAAATTATCTACAAACAGTTTTATATGATTAACCACAATAAAATAATTATTTCTATACGTAAGCACGAGTAGAACACAATTTTTTTTTACAATTAATGAAAATGTTTATACAGGTACATCACTGTATACCTTCAATATTTCATGTGATCGCAATATGAACTTTATTCCATTATAAAGCGTACTAGCAAAAAATAGTTACAGAAGAAACTTCATGAAAAAATTAATATTTCGCAAGGTAAGTGTTATAAATTGTGTGTTCTGATGAGCACGTTGAGGCCGAGTACAGATTATAAATTTTTTCCCTCCGAGCGCAAAAGATAATTGTACATACAGTATTGAGTCATAACAAGCTTACTATTGGAGATAAAAAGGTAGGGTTTGTTGGATTAGCATTGTAAATACATTATCTACAAATATTTTATATGGGTAATCACAGTAAAATGATTAAATCAATATGTATGTGCAAGAATAACACAAATTGCAGTGCATGGCTGCCACTCAAGCTCCCAAATGCAAATATTCCTCGCTCAAAGTTTCTCCATTTTTTACATAAATTATACATACTGTAATGTGTTTATAAATGCTTATTATTTTTTAAATTCATATGAAATAATAATTGTAAATTATTGGTTAAATGTAATGCATAAAAACATTACACTAAAAAAAAATTCTGTACTTACATATCCTTAGATGTTTGAGCATTTGGTGATGTTCCTCCCCTCGCACCCTTTCCCCTCCTCCTCCCTGCCCCACAGTGCCGAACTTAGCCTGAACAAGGTGACTAAATCTAGTTTTAGTGGGAGGACTGGTAGTGAGCACTTGAGTAAGATGAGTGGTCACAAGGTAAGTCATGTTACGATGGCTGAGATACCACATGGGCAACACTTTTTTATTTTTTGCTGCAGCGACATGCCAGGCAGTTCCTTTCACACAAGAACTGCTTGTTGAAGGGCCAAACAAACTATCACTTGCACTGGAAGGGCCTATGACACTGGGAGAGGCCTCAGGAGCACCACACTGACACCATGTGGTGCAATCTTCTTGTACTTTTTAAGTTTTCCCACTCCTCCACCTTCACCAATAACACGAGGAATAGTTCAAAATTATCACAACACTGTTATCAATAAATGAAATCACTGTGATGAACAAGATATCAGCACAAGCCACGAGAAAAGGTGGGAAATGTAGGTCAAGGTTACATCCTGCTTCGTTGAACCACAAAGGACGACTGGTGTGGTCACTCACGAAACCTTGTAGGCAGTCTACATAGTTACCAGGTCACACCAATATCGCCAAACGTGCATCTTGCGTATCCAGTGTTCATATGCAAACATAAAATCATTTTATTGTAATTTTTTAGTTCATACGCAAATTTGCGTATGAAAACCCTAAAACGATAATTTAGATCATACGCAAATTTGCATATGAAAACCCAAAGGGTGTTAACTGCTTAATATGTTATTTATTACAAAACAATGCAATGGATTTGCCAAGTACACTCAACCCTCGCTTTACGCGGTCCCACATTCCGCGTTTCCACGTTTACGCGGTACCCTGCCGAAACCGGAATGCTCACATTCCGCTGTGCGTGTACCCCTTTACGCAGAGAGCGGCTGGCGAGCTGCGACATTTTTTGATCCAAACCTCCCGCCATCCACCATGTTGTGTAAGCGGCGCGAGCAGGGTGCGCACAAGGTCGCCCAGTCATCAAAACATTACCGAGTTCTTCACCCGCCACCCGCCACAGCCGGCCCAAGTCAGTGATAGTGATAATTATAGTGAGGATATGGACTTATATGGACTTTGAGGGGTTTGACAAAGAGGCCCTGCAAACCTCTGTGGTGGATAGTGATACAGGTGAAGGCCAATAATCTGCACTCTGCCTCGGAACCAACCCCCCATCCCCGTGTGCCCAGCCATCTTTTCTACTAATGTAAGTGTTAAAAAACTTAATATTATTGATATTTCTCTTAATTATTAATTGTGTGTGCATACCATCATAAAATTAAGAAGTTATTTTTACTACAACGTAGGTATTGTGTCTGAAAAAATGGAGTTTGGGGGGTCGGCCCGGTCTCTATTTCAATTAATCCCATATGTTATGTTGTTCACTTTACGCGTTTCTCACTTTCCGCGGTACCCTGTGGGTTGAATTAACCGCGTAAAGTGAGGGTTCACTGTAGTATAAAATCATAAGGTTAAACAAACCAGCCACTTGTAATACTCATTGAGTGCAGTTTGAAAAATGGGCAAAATCCAATTAAGTTCTTGGGTGGGAAGTTGGAATAAACTTGCCAAATGCATCAAAGGAGACACATAATTGGAAGGGTGCTTCAGGCAGTGGAAATAACAGGACAACTTCAAAGGTCACCTTTACCAAAACTGCATCCATATTATAAAAATAGATCCCTTCAGATGCTCTCATAAGATCTAACCATGAAAATCACATTTAAATACATAAAAACCTTTAGGTATCATATAGTACTGTATAGATTTAAAATTACATTCAAGACCTTGTAGTAGTAGTAATACAGTGGAGTCTGCATTTACGCGGTCAATTGAACCCGTGGAGGCTCGCGTAAAATGAGAAACGCGTAAATGAAATAACAGAACATACGGGATTAATTGAAATAGAGACTGGGCCGACCCCCAAACTCCACTTTTTCCGAAACAATACGTACATTGTAGTAAAAATAACATCTTAATTTTATGGTGATATGCACACACAATTAATATTTAAGAGAAATACAGTCGCCGGTTAATGACCATTCAAATAATGGACTCAACTCTCTCCCCCCCCCTCTTCCCACGCTCGCTGGCTCCTTCCTCTCTGAGAAATGTTTGGGTGAAAACAGTAGGCTTAAATTTTTAGTAATAAATAATACCTCAGACTAAAGTTAGGATAATATAATTGACATTGCTGGATTCCTTGCAAGACCAGGAATATTTTTAATATAAACGTCATATATTTTGCACAAAAGATAAAATTTTTGCTCTTTCTAATCAAAATTCTTACATTAGATCTAAAATTTGCATGTCTAATGCAAATTGTATGATGTTTATATTTAAAATAATCACAATTTTATAACAATTCCAGCAATGGAAATTATATTCTGGCCGGGTAATTTCTATGAATTTTATGAGCTAAAACAAATATCTTCAGTAAGTACAGTAAACAAATTATACTTCACCCGCGTAAATGACCAAATTTACCGCGTAATTAAAGCATTTCATTCTGGCAAGGCACCGCGTAAATGACCAAACGCGTAAACAAAAGCCGTGTAAATGCAGACTCCACTGTAGTAATAACAATAATAAATGTGACCTAGAGTACTGCCTGTTTGGTTCAATTAATGATCACGGACTCCAGTGGCAAGGCCTGTCCCCTTTCTAACATGTTGATTTGGACAGCATGTAAATGAATATCTCTGTAGTGAAAATTCTGTGACATTGTCTGTATACTGTATTAAAAAAAAAAAAAAAAAAAAATGATTACAAACAAACATTAGAATTGAAGGATAGTGTAAAGAAAGAAAGCTGAGAAGTGAAGTAATCATTGCACATGGACACTGATCAGCTAGCAGGCAGCCAATCATAAAATATCTCATTACATTATGATGTCCACATTACATTGCCTCTATAAAAATTTAAATTTTGAGCAGTGGCCACAAGTTTCTTGAAGCTTAAGTCAATATGCATTCATTATTATAAAGAGCAAATGATATACAATTAAATATTATTCCAAGATTTTACAAATTTGATATGAAATCATCTTAAAAAAATACAAAATGGTTAAGTATTTCTCCTAAAAATAACGGTTATAAATTAAAACCATACTTATTTGAACATCAAGAGCAGCAATTCATGAAATTTGCAAAGAATTTTTTTTCTCAGAAAATTTTATATATACTTTTCTTACAAGTTAAAGCATAAAAACATTA